CAAAAAATTGAATAAGTAGTAATATTCCAGATACTCGATCAAATTTCCAGCACTTGAGCTGTCAAAACTTTAGCTTTATGGAACTTGAACCCACCGCAGCTCCTCAACGAAACGCAGCTTAAATCCAAAGTTAGGCTTCCATTGAAAGCAACCGACAAAAATTGGATTATTGATATCAGAATTGTAAGCTGTATATTTTTGCTGGTATTTTTGAAGCAAACAAGCCGAAGAAAATATTCAGCTGGCATGCTTAAATTCTTATAAACAGCTTAAAATAAAAATAAAAAAACAAACTTTTTAATACCGAGCTCGAAAAAACAAAAGCAAAAACAACGCCAAGCTTTAAGTCCTTTGCATGGTTTTTCTTTTTATTTTCTCTTCTCTCAGTTTTTTTTTGTTTTTGGTTTTTCGCAGATCAACTCGATGCGTGAAGGTAGAACGGAGAGCGGAGTGAAGGGCAGAGGAAGAGATGTGATACGCGCAGCATTTATTAACATTGCTCGCTGGGGCGTGGCAGCTGCTGCTGCTGCTGCTGCCAAAAGGTGTTAAGTGGCAGCCACGATGCGAGTGCAAATGATGATGAGCCACGGCGAGCCGTAGCCGTAGCCGCCGAATATGAGCGTTGGAAAATCTGCGTAAATTTCGAAGCGAGCGGCCATAAATAACAACAAACAACGCTGAAGGCGGCAGCAACAAACATTGAATAAAATATATGTAAGGAAATGAGAGCGGCCCAATGATAGACTAACTAGATATCCTGTAATCCAACGAAAATGAAATTAAAAATGATGTAATTATTGTGAAAGCAACAAAATTAATATGATATATGTACAAAAATATGTTTAGTGAAATGACAGACTAGCTAGATATCCTGTAAGTCAATAGATAATATTTAAACTGCATGATAAATGCTTGCGCTGATGTGGAAACGATAAATGTTAACTAACATTAATGCAAGCATATATACTCAGATAAAGCTCATACAGAAATGTAGATATATATTTTTTCGCAAATAATTTCAGCTTTAATTTAAGGTCTTAAAGTAGCTTGTGAATGTAAGCTTTGCAGAATTCCTTAAAATTGAATCTGCAAAAATTAAAAAAAAAATATTTAAACTACATCTGCTTATATGGCAAATGGTTTCACTAAATTTTCTTCTATTTACACATTAAACATTCGCACTAAATAAACCTTGACTACCTCCCAATTATAGGGTATATCATCATAAACTACATTGTAGATTTAGTGCATTTTTTGTTTGTTTATTTTTTGTGCATATTTTATCAGCTCATAAAAATTAACTTTCTTGAGCATGAGCACACACATGCACACATTAGTCACTTCTCCTCTCAGCTACAGGGTACAGCGAATTTCTGTGTAAAACAATATTTATGAAATTCTCTGCTGATTCTCCAAGGAGGCATTTTCAGTGTTCATCTTCTTCTTCTTATTTTACATATACATTTAATGGTTAATTAAATTGGGAAGCGAAAAACGTGCGAATACGCGCTTCCAGCTGAAATCTCCAATTGAAAAAGTTGCAATGGCCAAACCAAATTGGAAATTCAATTGGAAAACAACTGCCAACAACGCACACATGCACAGAAAACACACAAGCACACAAACACACACGCATACACACTGCTACAAACAGATCTGAACACTTGCCGCACAAACATTTGCGCAAAGTTGCGGACAACGCGCGTTGACTGTGGTCAGAAATTCCAACAACGAAATCTTTAGAGCGGAGTGAGCTCCATACGATATATTATAGGAACTTAGATACATTTATGAAGTTGAACATAATGATTTTATATATATAAATTTAATCAAATATTA